TACATGTGTAATGATGATAAAGTTGAATCTAATCTGTCTTTACTTGCAGAACAATACTGTTTATCCTTTTGCCAGCACATTACAAATTGCATGACATCCATTTCCACAAAAGTTCAGTTTAGCTATGATAGTCATGGTCAGGAGTACTCGGTCTTTCATATTAAGCCATGACCACGTGTAGTGGAATATGGCTGTTGGTGGCCCAAATTAACTCGCAGGCAAAGCACTACAATTCCAATGATCATTTATTAAACAGAAATATCAATAGGCGGGGTAGAGATCACCTTCTCTGCAGAAAATTAAATAAAAGAATTGTCAAAAGAATCAATCAGTCCTCTCCTGTCTCCCTTCATGGATATCCATCCATCCATTTTCCTCCGCTTATCCGGGACCGGGTCGCGGGGGCAGCAGTCTAAGCAAAGATGCCCAGACTTCCCTCTCTCCAGACACTTCCTCCAGCTCCTCCGGGGGAATGCCGCGGCGTTCCCAGGCCAGCCGAGAGACATAGTCCCTCCAGCGTGTCCTGGGTCTTCCCCGGGGCCTCCTCCCGGTGGGACATGCCCGGAACACCTTCCTAGGAAGGCGCCCAGGAGGCATCTGAAACACATGCCCGAGCCACCTCAGCTGGCTCCTCTCGATGTGGAGGAGCAGCGGTTCTACTCTGAGCTCCTCCCAGGTGACCGAGCTCCTCACCCTATCTCTAAGGGTGCTACCCCACCCTTAGCAACAGCAATAATGTGGTAAATAATTCACAGGAATATGTCTTTGGAACATATTATCTGTTTTTCTAAGAAAAGTCACTCTTTTAATTGACTGTTACAGTAGCAGCAGGATTTTCTGTCCTTATTAGTGACCACATTTATATTACATGTAGTCATTAGATTCAGTCTCTCACTATGCGAAAGTCAACAATTCTTTTGAGAATCAAGGAGTGTCAAGGGGTAAATCTTTTTCTGCCTGTTTTTGTGAAATATAAAATCTATTTCTTTATATTAATTTCCCTGTACCAATTGAAATATCAACTAAATAATAATACTTCATAATTTTCTGACAATATGTTCTCTATAAGTTTGGGTATAGGAGTCAGTTCTGATAACTGGTTGTCATTTAAACCTCTTTATTTTACCATCAACAAAATCTAAAACTTTACAGTGACCCCATCAATGATACAACACTTTATATGGATTCAAACACATTCAAACTTCCAGAACAGCTCCTAATCAGATGATTTGTTTTTGAAGAAAATTCATTGTGAAACAACAAAAACCATAAATTATGTAATTTAATAAATGAAAGTATGACCTCTATTCTAGAGGTTTTAACTCGCTGGTATCCGAGATAAAGCAGCCCAGGAATAATTAATATATTCTTTAGTTCAGAAAGAAAGAAAAAGAAAAGATTGTTGTGAAAAATGCTCTTTTGGCTGAGCTGTTTGAATGACAGTACCTGACAGGCTCACCTCTGCTGGTAAACAGACTTGCTCTGCAACCTACTGTGCATGTAATGGACAGTAGTGTTAGTGGTATTTAAAAATAAAGACTACATCAGCATCAAACAGACTAAAGTAACATTTGCAAGAAAGTTTACCATCTGTTTAATGCACTGCAGCTGAGTAGCTAATTGGCTAACTAGCTTGTAAACTGGTGTTAGTAGTGAACAGGCTAAGGCACAGGACAAGTTGTGTTCACATGCTGTAGTGAAATAAGGTGTCCATCTTCCTAGCTGCAAAAGAGACATCAATGCAAAACTAGGGTGAGCCATTTTGAAATGAAAAATCTCTCTCTTTTTTTGGTTTCTGAAAACATAGTAATTGTAAATGAATTACATATATTTTCTCAGATCCTCCTGCAGGTGGTGGGCCCACGGGAGGATGTCCCCACGTCGCTCGTTTGGGCTAAGCCCGGCCGGGCCCTGTGAGGGGAGGCCTGGCCACCAGGCCTTCTTGGTTATTTTTTTTTAATCACTACACAAGCATGCCCACATAATTTAAATGTATAATTACCATAGATTGCTTGTGGGGTTTCCCAAGGCCTGATTTTCTATGAAAAATATGTACTAATATTATATGTATGTTTTCTAAAACATTAAAAAATGTCTTATTTGCACATGGTACAGCTACCAATTTGATATTGTTGTAGTGACAACTTTTGAAATAGAAATTGAAATGAGTATAAAGAGTTGCTCTGATTTTAACTATTACTGAAATTCAGATTAAATTCCTCATTTTTAGATTCGAACAATAAATTCACACACCCAATTTCAAACTCAACTAATACTGTATAAAAATAACTGGTTTTAAAATAAAATGATGTACAAATGATGAATAAAATGAATGATCAGAAAGCCAAACTGGAATTATATGGTTCCGAATACAACATGAAAGAAAGAAAGTCACTTTCGGCTTTTCCCGTTTAGAGGTTGCCACAGCGAATCGTCACACTGACAACTCGCATGTTGACATTTGGCACGTGTTTTACGCCGGATGTCCTTCCTGACGTAACCCTGATTCGAACCTGGGCCGCAGCGGCGAGAGTGCTGTGTCTTAATCACTAGCCTACCAGGGACGGCGGTTTCGAATACAAAATACAGAAATGTTTATTTTGTGTTACTGTGTTTTTCATTGTTTTTAACTGTAATATCTATTTGCCTTTGTCAGTTTTATATGCCTTGCTTTATTGTTTGTTTCTGAAATGTCAGCTGTCTCAGATGCTAAAATAGTTGTTGCAGCTCTACACCTGACGCCTTTGACAAGCAAGATAAGAGCTGATGTGGAATTGAGATATTCATTAAAGTTTGAGACTGTGCTTACTGCAGCTCAGCCCAGCACAGTAGAGTTTTGGGGAAACCTCTGGTCCCTGATACCATAAATGGATCCATCCATCCATCCATTTTCTTCCGCTTATCCGGGGCCGGGTCGCGGGGGCAGCAGTCTAAGCAAAGATGCCCAGACCTCCCTCTCTCC